ACACACACACACACACACACACACACGCATATATATAATATATATATAATATAATATATATATATATAGATATTTATATATATATTATTATATAGATATAAATATATATTTATATATATATATTATTATTATATTTAATATATATATATATATACATTTACAAATACACGTTTGCATATACTCACGTGTATCAACGACCTTTATTGGTGTAAACAGAGTGCACAGCCGCGCCAGCAACAGCCCACAACACTCGCGCAAATGACTGGACTGTCCCTAGAGCCATCAGCACCGGTGGATGACGCCGAGGCCTTCCCGTTGCGCGACTTTAAGTTTCCCACCAGCGATACCAGTATGTAAACAGTAGCAGCAAAACGTATTCGTATCTCGAATTAGGTGCGCACATTTGACAGCGTGGGTGTTTAGATCCTTTTACGCCGTGCCTCAATCTCACGCAAGGGTGGGAGCTTTTGGAGTACGTTTTTGTTGGAAGAAAGTTGGAAAAGTGAACTATAGATACTTGTATGTTTGAGTACGTTTGTATTCCAGTCCATGAACCAGCTTGCTGACCCGAAGTCGTTGGATTTTGGGTATATACTTGTACAAATACAAATACAAATACGAATACAAATACAAGTATAAATACAAATATGAATTTGAATATAAATATAAATAGATAAGTATAAATATAAATAGTGGTCACATGTTCGGATACTGAGTGTTCTGCTGTTTTCATTCACCTCTCTCAGGCGAGCCCGACGGTGACACGACGGTCGCTCAACACACGACGCCAGTCACACACGGCAATACATCTCAGCAGATCACACTCGCAGGGCGTAACGTCCATATCTTCTCACGCGATGTACAGTCACACACCGAACGCACCGAAACGAACAGCCACATCTCAAACCAGCCACACGAGGAGAGGGAGGGTAAGGGTAAAGGGAAGGCTGAGAGAGAAGGAGAGGTAGAGGTTATAAGCCATCAGGGGGCCAATGCCACACACACACAGGAACAAGAGGACCTACCAGATGAGATGTTCAAGGTCACAGCGGCGGATCTGCGTGTGCTGCTCAGAGACACACGCATGCACACGGACATGGACCGGCCGTTCCAGTTTAGTACTAAGCACGGCAGTGACGAGCTCAGTAGCGAGCAGAGGGGGCAGGTGACCACGTGTATACGGCTGATGGTGGGTGACCACGTGGCACAGATAGAGTTCAAAAGTACCGAACCTCTCAGCACGGTCGTGGGTACGCTGAGACTGGCGGTGGATGCCGCGTGTAGCAATGAAGTGATCTTCTTCACTACCCCGCCCAGATGGTAGGTATCTGTTTAGTGCAGAACGAGCTAAAATATGGGTTTTTTAGGGGGTTGTTTAGTTTAGAACGGGCTTTTTATGCGCCGGTGCTTGTCGGGGTGCTGCTGTGTATATGGCACGGAGCGTATAAGAGTTGCTCTGGCCTCTCACGTGAATACGCTCATCTTATATCTTGTACTCACCATACCCAGGTGTAGTTTCAACGTAGTTGTGTCTCCATGCACATTAATACTAATCACGTGCCGGGTATCTTTTAACGTAATTGCGTCTTCATGCACATTCATACTAATCACGTGCCTGGTATCTGTTACCGTATCTGCATTTTCATGCAAGTTCATACTAATCACGTGCCTGGTATCTGTTAACGTAGTTGCGTCTTCATGCAAATTCATACTACTCACGTGCCTGATATCTGTTAACGTATTTGCGTCTTCATGCAAATTCATACTAATCACGTGCCTGGTATCTGTTAACGTAATTGCGTCTTCATGCACTTCATACTAATCACGTGCCTGGTATCTGTTAACGTATTTGCGTCTTCGTGCACATTCATACTACTCACGTACTTGGTATCTGTTAACGTAGTAGTGTCTCCATGCACATTCATA